CCTGCTTCCCGCCGGCCACGCCCTGCGAGGGCGGCTGCGACCAGGGCCTGGTGCCCATCCCGCTGCTGGCCAACCTGACCGTGCTGGCGCAGCCGCCCTGGCTGCCGGGGCTGGAGGCCCGCTACGTGGCCTTCGCCCGCGACCTCATGGCCGACGCCCAGCGCCAGGGCCGGCCGTTCTTCCTCTACTACGCCTCCCATGTGAGTGGCCCTGCCCCGCGCCCAGGCCCGGCCCTGCCGGCGCTGACCGCCGTCTCTGCCCCCAGCACACCCACTACCCGCAGTTCAGCGGGCAGACCTTCGTGGGGCGCTCCGGCCGGGGGCCCTTTGGCGACTCCCTGATGGAGCTGGACGCGGCTGTGGGGGCCCTGATGACGGCTGTGGGGGACCTGGGGCTGCTCGGGGAGACGCTGGTCATCTTCACGGCAGACAACGGGTAGGCGGGAGCCCGGCCCGAGCAGGCTGGGCAGGGTGTTGCAGGGCGCCGGCCGAGTTTCCCGCACGCTGTGCGCCGAGCCCCGGGCCCTCCTCGCAAAGGAGGGAGAGGCGGTCGCTTTCCAGAACTTAAAAAGAAGAAAGAGCCCGCTCAGAAGCGCACTTTCCCCTCCAGAAGACTGAGAACGGGCGATGGCCTGGTTGGGGTGCGTGGGTCGCCTGCGCCCTGCCTTCGCGGGCAGCTTCTGCACATAGGCAGCGGCCCCAGGCGCCGCACGAGGGCAGTGACTTGGGGGCAGCAGGAGGGTCCAGCCCCTCGTGCCCGCTCCTGGGTACCGTCTGGCCTGCGAATTCGTGGGAAGCGGCCGTCCAGATAACCCGCGGGCTAGGTGGAGTGCTTTTCCAGAGGGCCGGGGGCTCAGTCCCCCTCTGCCCCCCCTCCTCTCACTCCGCCCCCCTTTATTTTGCAGCCGCTCTCGAGCCCCACGCCGCGGCTTCCCGCCTGGGACAAAAGGCAGCGCGGCGGCGCGGTGGAGTCTCAGTACCCAGATGCGCCGAAGTCTCGGGGCGACCGCGCGCTGCGCGGGTAGGACCGCGGGCGCCTCACTAAGACGCCCCGCTCGGGCGGCCGAGGCTTCCCCGCGCGAGGCGCTCCGTACTGCAGCGTCCTGCGCGAAGCCTTCTCCGCCGAGCTCTCGGTGCGCGGAGCGCCGGGGCGCACAGCCCGCTCGCAGCCGCCCCCACCGCACCCTGGCGAGCCCCGCAGCGGACTCCAGCCGGCGGCGAGGGAAGCTTCTAGACGGGCCTCCCCCTGGGTGGCAGCCCCGGTTGGTACCTGAGCGATCCCACGCCCCAGGGCGTGAGCGGGTCTCACCTGTACAGGTGCAGTGGAAACGTTTGTGCGCGTTTAGGTCGGAGAGGACGTCCCCTAGTCTAGACGGAAAGATCAGAGCCATGTTCAGAAAAGGAAAAGCCGTTGGCTTCCCTGGGTGAAGGTGAAAGTGAAACGTTTCAGCTTGATAGAACTGGCTGATTGTCTCGCTCGTGCAATGGACTAGATGTAGTTACAGCGAGAGCGGATAATGCGGGTCACACTGGCCTCTAAATCCATAAAAGGAGGGGCTTGGGCTTGAGAGCACCCCCACTGACTTCTCGGTCAGAGACTCCACAGGCTCGTCCGGTGTGCCTGAGTTCAGCCTCCGCCGCAGGAGTTCAAAGGGTTCAGCCTACACCTTACTCCCACCCGCTGGGGCATTATTTTTACTTAGCGTGTGGGTTTTCTATCTTTGGGGGCGTTTTACCTTCCTCCCGCTCCTTTGTCAAACGCAACCTCCCCCACTTTGACATCCCCCAAAGCATTTTCGGACCAAATTCTTTCCTCCCGACTTCTTCGCTTAGCCTGGACCATGCAATTCAATGCCACTGGCCACTGCATAGGAACCAGCTGTCCATGCAAATACCTTCTCCCAGGGTCCTGAGGCAGGAGCGCCAGCGCTGGTAGGTTTGGGGGGGGGGGGTGAGCGTTTTACCCCAGGGAGTGTAGCCCTGATTTTAGCCAATGAGACCCGCCACTGGATCACTGGCCGCTGAACTTCAGGAGAATTCCCGCCCTGGGGTGGGTGTCAGAGGGCTAAGCAGATGCATTGATAAGGGTGCCTGAAGACAACTGTCAACAACTTAGGAATGCCTGGAGCTTTCTTGCGGAGCTGCTGGTTTGGTAAGGTGGGGCAAATCTAATCCACCTTCCCCCTTCCTCTGCTTTTTTTTTTTTTTTTTTAAGGTATGATGGCTTTCTGTGTAAATGAATTTGCATAGTTGCAAGTGTATTTGTAACACAATGTGTCAGTGTGTAAGCACTGACATGTGCTCCTCAGAAAGTGGCCCCAAGTCAGCCTTTTCTGGCACGTGCATTGAAAAGAAATTCTTTTGGTTGCAGGGTTTGTGAGCCCCCCACTCCTTAGCAGGCAGCTAGAAGGGGAACAGGCGTCAGAGTGGAAAGCATTATTTCAAAGGGATTTAGCACACAGCCTCCTAGGATTTCCCCCAAAGGTAGAGGGATTGGAAGTTGGAGCTCAAGGCTGGCTCTCCCCCACTTCCACTACCGCACAGGAGGAAAAGTGTGAACTCCTACGGCGCCAGTAACCATCTCTGGCAATGGCCCAAAGTGCTGGAGTCTCATCACTGGCTGTCCAGAGCTGCAAGTCTTACAGGCCTGCCGTAATGTCAAATCAGTTCACTGGATCAGTTCACGAGCGCGCACACACACACTCGTGTTTTACAAAGGAGAACTTAGCAAAATGCCTTGCATGCGTTAGATATTCAATGATTATTTATTGAGTGAATGAAAGAACTTCTGTGTCTATTTATTCTATCCCAGGCCCTTTTTAAAAACTAAACAAGCTTGCATATGAAGAGGCAATGCTCGGTGACAAAGAATTATAAGCCCAGAATGGAGAGAAAGCTTTTGTATCTGCTTCCTTTTTCCGCCCAGTTTTTCTGAGCAGCCTCTGCCTGAAGTCCTGCCCCAGGGCAGGACTCTGCAACTAGTTGGTAAACTCAAGGATCCCACCACAGCCTGTCAGCCAGCCAGCAAAAGCAAATGCATCACTCTGGTCCAGTCCTTACTTCCCTGGCTGATCACACTCGTGTTTCTGTAAAGGTTCTTGGCCTGATTTCATGCCACAGTTCCCCACATTCCTCTCTGTTCTCTCTTGGTGGTACTCTGCCTGAGTTTCACGGCTGCAGGTCGCTCCTGGTAACCCGCCCAGCCTCCCTCAGCATTTTCACAGAGTGGCTGAAGTGCTCAGGAAACTTAGGGTCTTAAATTGGGAGCCGACTCCTCACCCCCCAAAATTGGAGAGAGTTTCCAGAAGGGATAAACACCACCGTGCTCTGTCCTGTGGTTCTAGCAGCGTTCACAGGCTAGTTCGTTTGTGACCAACGTAGGTTGTGACTATAGAAAGGCTCCGAAAGGCGATCTGGTGCCTGGACGACCTGCCCTGAGGGCTCAGAGGGCCTTGCTTAGTCCAGTCAGCCCTTCCTCCTCACCCCACATGGGGACTCTGGGCCCCACCTTGCAGGCTGCCACCCAGGAAATGCTGAGATCCGCCTTCCCCCGCTTCCCTCAGACCCTTTCTGACGCTGGCCCTGGCCATTGGCAGCTGTGGGGAGAGCAGCCACCCGTGCAAGGTCACCACAGGGAGGCAACAAGGTCATGTCTGCGGTTGCTGCTCCAGGCTGGAAGGCCCCAGAAGCTAAAGCAAAATTCCCAGCGCAGGAGTCCCTGGGGTGTACCTGTCTCTAAAGCAGATTGCTTTGTCAAGGAGGATGCAATGTGGTCAGGAGCAGGAAAGGAGTATTTTTAAAGCTGAAAACTGCCAAAGAAACAGTGGCAGCCATTTGGGCCAACCTGGACTGTTTCAGAGCCCGCTCCCAGCTCCTCTCTGGGCCTCTGGAAGGGCTTTAAATAGGTGATCAGGACCCACTGGGGAGAGAGGGACAGCGGACTCACTGGAGGGGTGGCGGTGGCAGGTGGTGAAACGTGTTGGGGACAATCTAACTTGTCTCCAACCGAAAGGGCAAGAAAGGTGTCAACTGTGGTGGCCTCTGAGCGGCTTAGGGGTGGGGGAGTTCTGGGACCGGTCCTGAACTGGGCACAGTTCTCCAGGTGAGGTCCTGTACTGGGGGCAGGACACCTGTGACCCTCTGTCTCCTCACCTGTCTGCCCCTCCACATCAGAGGCCAAAACCCAGGGGGGCTTTGCAATTTCCTAGCACTTTACAGTTTATAAAGAATGAGAGTGGTGACAAGCAAAGGCGAGGCCTTCTTGATGCTCTCCAGGGGCTACTTTCTGCATCACCTTTAAAAAACAAAACCAAACCCCAACTCAACAGTGTTGAATCAGCTGCTCCCACTACCTGCCCGCCCCCATGTGATCTACAAGCCCAGATCGCTAATGGTCACCTGGGGACAAATTAAGGAATTGAAAATGCTGAGCTGGAGAAGCTGGAGAAGCTGGATTCCTTGCACTACCTGGGGTCGTTAATCACCCGGCAGAAACCAGCCCAGCAGGCAGGCAAAGGACAGAATCCGAGATCTGCGTGAGGCCTTCTCCAGGCTTGGCTGGAGCGTTCAAATGCAGTGTACAGCGTGTTGGATGTGCTCAGAAGGGGCACCCAGGCTCGCACTGACCGGTCACAGGAACCATAAATCTCATTTAGGTTGTTTCCATCACCCTGATTTTACAAATAAGCAACATGTGTTTGGTAATCAAGAGGCCTGTGCAAGATTAGCTCAAGACTCCAGGGCCGGGAGAGTCGTTCCACGCCCACACTCCACTCCTGTTCCCTAAAGAGGGCTGATGTATTTTTACCCAATGAGGTGAGAAAAATAGAAGATTCACATCTAGAGAATCTACCTCCAAGCATGGGGTGGGCTTGAACAAGCTGCTGGAAGGGGCCAGGCCAGGAAAAAAGGATGCCAGGGGTTTTCAGAAATTAAAAAAAAAAAAAAGCTAGGATCTGGGGGGTGGAGGGAGCACCCCTGTTGTGCCAAGGAGGGGCTACCTCCTCACCCACCACCCTCTTTGGGCATTATTCTGGAAAACGGTGCTTGGGGGTCTGTAGCCTGGCGCTGGGTCTTGTCAGCAGAAGACCCTTGACGCTGGTCCTTGGACCGCCCATCCCGAGCTGTGAGGCCAGGCCTGGACACCCGTCGAGGTAGAGCTCCTGACTGCTGTGCCTAGAGATACCAGGTGGTGGTGGTGGGGGGTGCGCCCCTCAGCTCAGCACCCCGCAGCGCAGGGCTTGGGGCCGCTCTTCCCTGAGAGCTTGGTCTGGCCACCCGACTGCGCCCAAACCTACCCTTTCCCCTCACGGCCCCCACCGGCTCCAGTGCATAGTCCCGAAGCGAGAAGGGACCATTTGTAGAGTGAAACTCCTCAGACAATGGAAAGTTCTGAGGTTTCCTGGACGTTGTGTTAGGGAGGCGGGGCCGGGAAGGCTGACGGTGGTTCCCCA